TTTCTCTCTCATCAATGTTTCTAACTCTCTATCCCTCTCCCTTCCTCTCTGTAAAAAATCAATAAAATATATTTAAAAAAAAAGAATTCATGGTTGTAGAACTTTTCACAATGAATAATCAAAATGCCACAATGAATGAATTTTACTTGAGGTAAAATCCAAGCACTAGTCAAATTCTTTACATCATCAGATCTTTCCTAAGCTAACTCTTTCTCTTACAATTACATATGTACCAAAGCTATAGGATTGCTTATATGATGATCATTTTTGGCGTTACTAGTATGATAATGTAAAAGAATGATGCCCAAACAGCAAGGTTAATTAAATAATTGTGTAAGAGTTTCCCCATCTTTTTTTTTTGTGTGTGTGTGTGTGCAAACTTCCTCTCCAAACTATTAAAATATGACCAGTTGCCTCTTCCCAGGAAGAAGATCACTATTTCTGAAAGATCCGTAAAATATACAAAGGAGCACATTTAAGTAATAAGATGGAGGCATGGGAAACCTTCTGGAGTGATGGACTGAAGTGAAGTCAAGGCCATTAACTGAGGCCAGCCATTAATTCACAGAAAAAACTCTGAATTGTGTTAATTTTTCTATTAAAGACTGAACATGGAAAACAACAACAAAAAGATCCTCCTAAACATTGATATTTAGATTTTATGGGTCGATTGTTCAGTTTCATGTGAACTGTCTTGATCTTTCTAGAGAACCATTATCCTTTACATTCTAATGAGTGTTTTCTTCAAATACATGCATTCCTTTCAGCCTATAACATCTACAATATGAAAAAAAAAATACCCAAATAACATCAACAATTATATTGAAGCAGAAGTCAAGAATAATATTAACATTTTGGCGTTACCTCAGAAATCAAATACAATATATTTAAAGTCTGGTTTTGATTTTGTTTCTTTTGACTGTAATTCAAGAGAAATGACCTCATGGGATTCTTATGATGGTTCCAGGTAGAATAATACCAGGATTGAAGGGTATTTGTGAAAGGCCTTAGATTATGCAATGAATTACATTTGTCTATGATGATGGGTTAATATTGACAGAGAGATAGCTGAGAAGACAACTTTCAAGTGAGAGATAAATATGTAACATCAGGATAAATAGTTTAGTTTGGATCCATAATAATCCTTAAGCAATTAATGGGTACCTTGTGTTGTATAGGGTCCTGAAATCTGAAATATATCTGACAATAGGAGTTTTTATTGGTTTTGAATCTAGTGCCTAGGATCATAATTATTCATAATTATTATTTCCATGAGTGAAGGTTGGGGAGAACAATTTCAGTGAAACCTCTAAAACTGTATGTAAAATCTTGTGAATATGTCATAATTCTTCCCTTCCTCAATTCCTACCCCTTAGCTGATCCAGTTTCACCTGAGGTTCCAGAAATATTAATAATTTCTGATATAGCGAGAGAGTGAAAAAGATTACAATACCAGTTCATGCCTTTGTTATTAATCAAGCATTTTACAACTAAATCTTTTCCCTTTTGAAACTATAATCAATCTCTGGCGGGGTAGCTCAGTTGGTTAGAGCATCTTCGTGATACACCAAAGCTGTGGGTTTGATCCCCAGTCAGGCACACAGAAGAATCAACCAATCAATTCATAAATAGGTGGAACAACAAATCTCTCTCTCTCTCTCTCTCAAATAAATAAATAAATAGGAAAAATAAACTGTAATCAAGTCCTATTTACTTATGGAACATTCCTAACAAACACAAAGATCTTGTCCTTTCCAATTTTATAAAATGCTTTTAGAGTCTTACCAAAAATTCAATATTGCACATTTTGCAGTCTTATTTCATTTATCTGTGTTGTTGTTGTTTTCTAGGCCCTTATGTTTTATCCCTCAAAGTGATGAGGGGATAAAAGCTGATGAATCACAGCGTCAGATTCAGATTCAAATTAATGGTTAGGCTAGGCATTGTCATAGGTACCTTTTACAAGATTGTGATGTTTAATTCTCATAAGAAACCATGAAGAATTGGTATCCAGTTTGCGGATGAGGCAATGGGAACTCAGAATTTATGTGGTTTACCAAGAAATCACAAACTACAAAATTGCAGAGCTGAGACGATGTTTTTCATTTATTTAGTGTCCCCCCCCCCACCCCCCAGAAAATCTAACTGCACATCCTTGGAAGTCAGGTCAATGAATATGAACATCAATAGTGAATTCATTTCCTCTTTTTTAGTCATCACCTGCACTTGCCTGGTGATTTTTGAGTCAGAAAATGCTAGGTTTCTGAGACCTTTTCACAATCAATATTTTAAGCATAAATGGAGTTCTTATATATAATGAAGTCCAGATTGGCACAGGAGCATAGAAATTACACGCAATGAATATGTCCTACTCAAAATATGTATAACTCTGAAATATTAACCCAGTTCCATTAGAAAATAAGTAGGAAAAAACCAGATTTACTTTTATATTTTTGAATATATGTCTTTGTGTGCACAATCTAAATACATTATTTATATAAAATTTTAAGCTATAAAATTATTTAATGTGTATTCAATATAACCACTTGATTATAATAGTTATTCCATTTTAAATTTTCCCTCATCCAATCTTTCTCTTAATTTTCATATCAAGCTGTTATTTTAGCTCTTCATAGTTGATGATTAAATATATCACTTGCGGTCCATTCATTAACACATGTCTCATTCAACTATTTGTTAAATGAAGATAGGAGAATTATTACTCACACTAGTAGCATAAGAAAAAATGGCAACCATAGTTTTTTGCAAAATTCTTCTCTAGTCTACAGATACTATGTTTCTGGATATGTACAAACTCAACAAACACTTATTTTAGCCTAAATCTGAGCAAGTCCCATGATTTTAACACCTGGACCCAAAATATGTCAAGCCCTCGTTGTGCTAACACATCATTAATGGCCCTCATCTTCAGGCTATTTCCTTGACTTCCTAGGGCCCTCGACTCTGATGACTGAACTTTGGCCTGCACAGATGCTCTCCACGTTTCCTCCACCCCTTTCCGAAAAGTTCATCAATTGGCAGGTGGCTAATCTGAGTCACTAATCTACACTAAAACCCAGTGGGAACTGATGTATGATTCTGCTGGTCCTCCCCATTTAAAAAAAAAATGGCTCCACGTATGAGCAAGTCAGGCATCTCATCTTAAATGAAAGAGAAAGTATAAGAATGTGTGCATGTAACCCCTCTACAAACTGCTACCCCGCAAATCACAAAGTTATACCTATGTCCATATGTCTCTTGGTTTAAATCCACCTACTGTATATATTAATAAATGACCTGGTGAGCAAAGACAACTAAATATCACCTTGGGAAGTGGACAAATTTTCATTAGAACTAGCTAGCAACATCTCACTTCTCAAAGCATTTAACCATTGGCTAAACATGTGAATAAAATGAAAGCTGTAACGTACCCTAAAGAGAAATAAAATTTCTAAAATAGTTCAAATTTATGTTTATTCCCAAACATGTATTTATTTTTACAAATATGTATTGACATAGAAAACAGTCACTGAGATGTAATATCTCATATAATTATATACCTATTCTTAGTGGTAACATAATTATAACTAACCTGTTCATTCAAATTTTTAAATCACTAAAATGTTGAATGAACAAGTTAGAGAAATTAAATCACTTTGTAAATAATGGGTAAAATTGCTTGCTAAATTCTATCTTGCCAAGGATGAAACTTAAAAATATTTTAAATATAAAATAGAATTTTTGTGAAGATTTGAAACTTAATGACTTTCAAATAATTAAAAAAATACATTACCATTTATGTGGCTGTGTCAATAATTCTCCTGGAATGAATATCTCTTTTTGTATCCCTAACAAATAATAAGTTGTCTATAAATAGAAGAGTAGATTTTTACCTAAAAAGTATTTCTCTGACATTGATGAAGTTCATAAAATACCAGTTAATTGCATATTTAACGGTAGTTTAACAGTAACAATTTTGATGGAAATACATTAAACATACAGAAGCTTTTATGAAATTATTTGGAG